CGGTATCGGATAAAACCTAAACGATACCCATCCCTAGTCGACACTCACAGGATCAGAGATTAACTGCAGGTTTATACTTTTGCTGTCCACACGTTAGCCTTGTGTAATGCAGGATATGTTATTAAAGGCATTTGGCAGTAGCCACATCAAATATTACTCATTAGATTGTTGCCCAATGAACCTGCTCGGAGCCCACGCTGCTCTGATGTTAGAGCAGAAAGGTTGGAGAAGCACTCATCGATGTGGTGTGGGTGAAACTCCACCAGGGCAGAAATACACCACACCATCTGCAGGTTGTTCCCGGCTCGTGATGATGAATTTTAAAGCAGGACCTGATGAACTCTGAGTGAAGTTAGTGCAGAGAAACCCAGCAGAGAAACACTGAGGACAGGTTAAACCTTCCTGTGATGTTTGACTGTTTCACACCAGACTCTTGTTTGATCCCCAGAAAATGTTCTCTCCTCCCATACCCGGGGACGTCATGGTCAACTTTTACATCAACTTAAGCAAACTGTGTCTGACTGTGTACCAGCTCCACGTGCTGCCTGCTAACACCACCAAGGTGAGACACTGACACCGTGCACCCGTCTGTGGCGCCGCCCTGTCATGTGACCAGTGTTTGTGATCTTCTCATATCTGCAGAACTTCAAGCCTGCTGGGAGCTCGGTGTTGCACAGCCCTGGAGCCATGTTGTAAGTGCTTCAGTCCTCTGATGAAGCTTAAACATGTTGAAGCTGAAACGTTTACACAGAGCCATTACCAGATGATGCACCTTATTCTGTTGTAACATTACTCAAACCTGGCTCTATGAGTGATGTTTAAATATGACTGTGGCCAAACGGCCTCTGACTCAGCAGCTGGGCTCCTGCCCCCATGATGCTGGATGGAAATTGTGATTTGTTTAGTTACTGGTAACACACAGCAGTGCTGAAGTGTTCATGCTGGACAGTATGTAAGTTCTCTTTACATTTTGCTACCACAGTGAGCTCAACAACAACCGGTTTGAGGTGAGCCACGTTCACAAAGTTGAGTGTGTGGTGCCGTGGCTGAGCGACACGCTGGTGTTCTTCACCATATCCCTGCAGCTCTGCCAGCAGCTGAAGGACAAGGTCAGTCCCTCCAAACACTCCACACATTAGTCATGACGGGACAGACAGGAGATTCATTCTGGGAGCACATGCTGTCTGTTCGGCAGTGTTGGGAAGGTTACTTTTAAAATGAACTGTCACTCTCCACACCAACACCAGCTAGATGTTTAAATCTTAACGTTAATGAGTAACAGGTGGACATTAGGTAAGGCTGCACTTTTTGCAGAGATCTCGTATAGAAAACTATTCCTCGCGTATATAAAACAGGTCCGCGGCTCTGAACCGTAGTAAAGGGACCTCTGGCTAATACGGTGGGTTCTTTTTGGGCTCGTAGCTGAAAACTAGCTTTACTTTGTTGTCTGGGTCAACTTTGCTAGCAGAGACAGAGAGAGGCGTTGAAAGGCTGCTCCAACGGAACTTATTGTTTCAGAGGAAAACACGAACACGGTGTACAGTCGAGTCTTAATAGCTTACTTACAGCTGGGCTCGTCAGGCTCTCTTCTTGGCTGCAGTGGTTATTATTATATTTACATGCTTCCAGCTCCCGTTTTTGCTCGATGACAGCTCCTACTGTAACACCTGTACTGGTCTTTCTGTGTTCAAATGTTCAAACATGAAAATGAAATATTTACTCTGAAAACTGAATTAAAAGCTAAAAGTGAAATAAAAACAAACTAATTAGAAAATATGAACTTTTAATAACACCACCATTCAGAGGGTTACCCTGACCCCTGATGCTGATGGTTCTGGGGCTTTAATGGGGGGTGGGGGGTCTTTTTGTCACCCTTAAATGTTTCGGATCAAACATACAAAAAGTCAATTATACAGAATCTAAACTGATGAAGGGCACGAACACGTCTCCACACCACTGTGTAGCTAACCTGGGGTGAGCCGAGACGTTAGCCAGGGTCATGTGACAGCTCGATGATTGCAGTTAGGTTTGGCAACGTTGTTTCGTTTACTTTGTAGAACCAGCCTTGAGTCCCAGGTTTGTGTCTTTGCTGGGAACAGATTAGGATCAAAGGCCTCTGGGATGACTGATCTCAGCACAGTTTGCCTAAACGTGTCTCTACAGTGGCTTGAAGTATTTGGACCCTTTGGCAGTTTGTTTCATAAAGTGATCTTTCCTTTTGGTCCAGACAGGTCTTTGTTTTTCAGCATTAAATCTGTTACAGTGAGCAGGAAGTGAAAGGAAGTGAAACTGTTTTATCTTTGACTAAAGCCCGGCTGCTTCCTTCCCTGCAGATATCGGTTTTCTCCAGTTTCTGGAACTACAGACCTTTTTAACCCTGCTGCCCGTCATCCTCCAGGCTCCGCTCGGACTCAAACTTAGCACTCTGTAAAGGAAGTGTTCATCATTTTAGGTGTTTGAAATGCAGTGTGATGTCAGCGCGCTAAAGCTCCGCCCCCAGTGATGTTGGCCCAGATCGCTGACAGTCCCGTCAGTGCGTCTCAGTCCTGGCGTGTGGATTCATGTCCTTTGGTTCACTTTAACAGGATTATTTATTCCCCACACTCACATTCCTGACTGTGTTTGTTTAGTAGAACACTAACTTTGTACTTCATCTCTTCTTGTTCTTACACGGTGATCGCTTTGAAAGCTTCCTCGTAGTCCTGCTTTACTACTGTGGTACTGGTATTGGTACTGTGGTACTGTAGTACAGGTACTGTGGTACTGTGGTACTGGTACTGTGGTACTGTAGTACTGGTACACAGGTGGACACCACAGCCTGTGACTGTGCTGTAAGATGCTCAGAGTAAATCAGTCTAATGCCACTAACAGCATCATATATTCACTCTGCTGCTAACACTAACCTCACATGCAGCAGTGATGCTGCGTGACATGTGCGTTACTGTTATGATGCACGTGGAAAAGGCTGTTTAGTGGCTGCCAAGCTCGTGTTGGAGTGGGAACATGAGGAGGAGGAGGATCTGTGATGAAGGTAACAACAGTTTTCTGTGTTTTTGATGGAACTAAGTAAACAAAGGAGGGTCTTTGAAGAAGCTCCTGCTTTGTTTCTCCTGCCGTAGCACCTTTTCAATCTTCCCACAGGAAACAAACCTGCTCGCAGTACGTCGAGGACAGCTGGAGGCTGTCATCACTGTACCAGGACCAGGTCATGAGTGGCAGTTTGGACATAGATGTCAGCTGCTCAGCTCATTTTACCTGTCACTAGCTGATTGGCTGATCTGAGCTCTAATTGATCCTGTTTCCAGTTTTATCAGGTGCACCATCAATAGAGGAAGTGTTGCTCTAGCTCAGCCTCTTCCTCATTCAGTACGTGGGTGTGTGGGACACAGTAAGAATCAAACATTGTTGTAATGGGTAAAATATCTGAACCATGCACGGCGTATATTTACCCGTCATGGCTCCTCCAGTCTGGTTTCGTTCACATTGTCGTGCCCTGATGTCCTGAGCTCAGTACAGATGGCAGCACGTTTGTTTCCGAGCAGAAGCTGTAAGAAAAGAACCGACGAGCAGCAGAAACATGAACACAAGCGTGGCTGGAGCAGGCCCTTCATCCATCTCATTCCCTGTTTGTTACCACATGGATTCATTTAAATAAGCTACATGTGACATCATCTGTTGCTGTTTGTATTCGTCTCGTGTTGATTTTGTTTGAACCAAACACTATTGTAGACATGAACAAATGACTTCATTCCACTAAGTATTAATGTATTTAAAGATGCTGTCATGTAAAATGTGGATGTGCAATTAACCTTTGGTCCTGTTGAACTCTTTGGTGATCTGAAGATGCATGTAATAAAAAATCACTAAACTTCACATTTGTGTTGTTGTAAATGCAGTGCCACATTGTGTATTTGTCACACACATTTTAATATTAGACAAAGATTCATGCAAAATTCATTTTTGTAATTTCATACATTAGGGTGGAAAGAGACCCAAACCCGACCCGGTCTTTGTTCGTGGTAACACCAGCTGCACCTGATGTGCAGTCAGAATTCAGAAACATCCATCAGTTTGTTCCATGAAGCTCACGTTCATGTACTCTGTTATACAGCAGCACAGTGAGAGGAAACACCAGGACCTTTACTTCTGAAAGGCTCAAAACAGACTATGATAGTGGAGTTGTGTAGTCAAAGTCCAGTTTGATGGCTTGTCATTCCCAAGAATAAATGCAGAGGGAAGCAACAATGGTTGCTGACTGAAGTAGTCACAGTCAACGTCAAGGAAGGAGGTAGGAAGCAGACCACGCAGACATCTCAGGTTTGCAAAGGTGAGCAATTTATTTACAGTGAGCTTAATTTAATGTGACTTAACAAAACAAAACCCAAATCAACTCACTTAACAAAACTCAACAGACCATGGCTCTGGTAACTCTGCTCTGCTGCATTTGGTAGAGACTGGCTTTAAATAGGGCCATCAATAGCCCAGCCAGTACCACTCACTCAAACTGAGGGATCTAAAACTCTACACAGATGATCTAAAAACACAAAACCTCTACACACTTCTAACACGCACATTTACACAACTAAATGGCAGAATTAACAAAAGGAAAAACACTCAACAAATCCCTTTAAACCTTAACACAAACAAAAGGAAGCATCTCTATGGAAACAGAAACCTGCTGACCTGCTGATGTCATGTGTGACATCAGCAGCACTTTAAAATGAGGAAATGCCAGGTGGGCGTTTCCCCACACCTGACCCTCATGAGGACTGAAAAGACAAAGTATGAACAAATGACTTAATGTGTAACATAATAAAATATAAAGAAACATGTAACTGAGTATTTGTCTTAATTTGCAGAATGTTTGATTTGACAACAGAACGCTTCCACAAACAAACCCGGGATAGTGAGTGCAGCTTGACAAATAGCAAATCATAGCAAACACATAGAAACAGAATAATGTGTACAATGTGCAGAAAAAGGTAAACACATATGGGACACATGGAGAGCAGCTGCTCCTCCACTTTGTCACACTGACCAGGAAAAAACAAAGCGAGCAACTTGTGTAAATCAAGGTAAAAAAAACGGTTTCCTTCCTCGTCAACACTGACAAACAATCAAGGTTTGCAGAATGATTCGACCAATGGCTCAGACGGTTCAGTCTCTGAGGTCAGTGCTGCCAGGACCGCCCTTGACCATCAGGACTGTCAGTGTCAGCACTGGGACACGACCATGAGGAAGACCTTGATGTAGTTTGGGGCACCATCGTTCTCACTAGAAGAAACAAAACTTGTCATCACTGCAGTCTCAATACTGAGAGATATTGAGATGAGATACTGCAACCACTGGCACTCCCATATCTCCATATTCTGAGACCGAACTCTGTATTGCTCGTTCCCATAGAGCAGGATTTATCAGAGCTCACCTCCAAAATATGGGGATGGACAGGATGGGCTGTCTGCAGTCCTCACACTTGCTTTAGATGTTATCGGTCCATTCACTGGACAGTATTGGTTGTAATCAGCCCCACAGAGAGGAGCCTCTACCCTCTACCCCTGCTGATCGCTCAGGTTTGTTATCCAATCACACGACAGCAGTGATTTTAATAAATGAGTTAATGTGGTGTTGATATACCAGCTTTGACATGTAGACGTTATGTTTTCCACTGTCTTTGTGACGCTAGCTTAGAGTTACTGTGAAAGGTTCATGTATACTGTACTAAAGTGGTTGGTACGTCTTCCTCTTGGCTGTTCTGTTTTCTCTGTTATTACCAGTGTTGGGAAGGTTACTTTTAAAATGTATTCCATTACAGATTACAGATTACATGCCCCAAAATGTATTCTGTAATGTATTCCGTTATGTTACTCAATGAGAGTAACGTATTCTGAATACTTTGGATTACTTAATATATTATCATGCTGTTTACAACTAC